GTGTGATATTTTGTTTTCCACTTCTTCTCCTATCTGACTTTTGACATTAAGCTTTGTTACCCCATAGTTATTCAATATTATTTATATTTGGTGCTTTTTAACCTTCATAGATTAAATCAACCGGGGACAAAAAATAAGTTTTAATATGCACTAGTTTTAAGTAAACTGATAATTCCAAGTAATTTTGTATTTCATATAAAGTGAAGAAACAATGTGAATAATGCACAGTAAAGGACATACTATAGTTTCGGACAGAACTTCCTCAGTGTCATGGCTTCTTATTTTTAGAACCGAAACTATAGTACGTCCATTTCTGTACTTTTGTGCTTTATTCACATTGTTTTTTGTTTTTTTCACTTAAGTCTTCATAGCGCGAAGTATATCCTATATATTTTTTTTTTAATCTTTCATACAACTCCCTGTAGCTGATATATTTATCCCACTCTGTTAATGCATTGATGAAAAGGAAGAGGGGGAGAGGATTACAAGGAAAAGGCTGCATGTAGGGGTCGCAAATTAATATTTATGTGAGGGAAAAGGCGCTTTTAAAATCTAGCATATAATGGAATAGGAAGGCAGATGTTAATAATCATCAAATAGGTTTAATTCGAAGGAGAAACTTAGGAGTTTCTAATAATCGTCATTCAATTTTTCTGCTTCCTACTGCAATCTAACCTGTCTTGCTTTTTATTACTTACGCCTTCCTTCACTGTGATTAATCATTTTTCGAAAGTTGTTTTGCTTTTCCCTCACTAAAATATTAATTTGTGACCTCTTTACTTTTTTTTTTCTTTTTTAATAAGGATTCTGGAAATACAAATTAATGGCTGTTAGGCGATCTTTACAGATCACCCTGTATATAGTGTCATAAATACCATAATTAACGTGCTGTAAGTGTTGCATTTTAAAAAACGCACTGACGAAGCATTTCTATATCTCATATCTAGTTAGTGAGATTTTTATGTCACATAATTGTTTTTAATCAGTTTTAAGTTCAAAATATTTACTTCAACTTCCCCAGAAAAATTTTATCAGTATTTCGCGATTATTTATTCCAAATTTTTACGTTTTACTGTCTAGATAAAATAATATTATTCTAGATTTCGAATTACTAATGCTTTCATGACCTGATGATTAATATTCTGTGTTAATCATTTCATCCGTACCCAAATACGATTTCATCAAGACTATTTGTTTTTTGCCTGACCGGTATTTTTTCAAAGATTATCGTCATTCAACTTACGTCATTCTGTGGTTTTCGTTTCTCACGAACATTAAAAATAAATATTTTTTCCCCTCCTGACATTCTACCAATAAATATGGATTAACATCGCAATGAATGCGGAGCATGGTTTGTTTTTGTGTAATATATCCGTTATCCTTTTTTCTTTCATTTTTTTACATATTTGTTATCATTACTTAGACTAGGTATTTTAAAGTCATTTATTCCGTGGACCCCTTTTTTTCCAAACCCCATCTCAGCCATAGAATTTTATATCGTTCTTTTGAGACTTAAAATTTTTTACCTCAAGTCTTATTAAGTAGAGGCTCAATAATGTTATTATTACATCATAGTAAATATTGTGAAAAATATCTTTATTATATCGGTTCTATAGAATAAAAGCATAAAAAAATAGTATTTAAAAGAACTGGAAAAGTCATAAAATATGTCTAATGTTTATAATGTATGTTATTCCAGATTTTTTTTTTTTAAAAAGTGTTGTTTTTGTGATAACTTCGCCATAATTTTGCAAATTCGTGTTAACACTACCCTATGCTTTCATCGTTTCTATTATTTCACTAAATCAGTGATTTCTTTAGTTTTTTTTATTATTTATAAATTTTTTTTATTTTTATGAAAGGTCCTGTTTTGTTGATATTGTGAATCTAAATTACAGAGAATCTAGTTCTTATGCCAGCATCCTCATTTTGTAAATATATTAAGGTCTTGTTTTTGTGAGGGGGGAAAAAAACACCAAATCCTTGTCGTCCAAAACTATAGTTTTAAAATCATGAATTCAAGTCTTCTGATTTCGTTTTTCTAAAGGATTAAGAATATTGTGAAGGGGTCATTTTTAATGTGAAATGTTCGTTTATAAGATAAAATATTTTGTAAATTTTCCATTTTTTTTAGTAAAAAATTAAGTGAAGAGTTCGTTAAAGCTTTGATATTTCTTCCAAAATGACTCTTACATTGTTAATTGTAAATAATTTTTACTTAATGAGATGGGTGTATTCGTTTTCTTGAAAACCTGGACCGCAATAGCGAGTTCTATGTTCCTAAGTTTAATTCTGATGTTCGTTTCTATATTGTGATTGTCCCTATGCTCTCAATTCATGAGCAATACTAAAAAAGACTCACCACTCAAATATGTCGCACAAAATGAAATCAAATAATGAAAGGCTGTGTCTATAGCTTCTGTTAAAATTGTTCTCTACCTCAATTTAAGCATCTTTGTTTTAGACAATTACACGTGCTAATTTAAAATACTGTTAGTCTAGTTAAAATTACTAATTTTGTACATCGCCTAAAGTGTGTTATTATGAAATGTTAAGACCTTAAAGTGTTCTAATAAAGTTTACTTTACTTAAAGTGTAAAGTATAATATCAAATATATATTCCAACTGAAGGTTCAATGTACCGTGTATATTATTTAATCTAAAAAGTGACTCCTGCTAGAATATTTTGAACTGGTAAAATGTTATGTATTGATTTGTATCAATCACGAGACTATGAATCATGATGGAATTTCAAGGGAGTTCCTGAGCAAACATTGATGTCGTAGTTATGATACATTTCCTAGAACCTTTATTTTACTCATTCTACGTAGTTACAAATTCGTTTGAAAGAGGCATATGTTATATTTCAATTTGAAATATTATAAAAGCGCACTTTTTTAAACTGGATCTTGAAGTTTACATTTATATATTTTGCTATAATTTATATTAAAGTCAACTGTTACAAAATTTTACAGTAGTTCAGCAATGTCTTGTTGTATAATATTTTATTTGAGAATTCAAATTTGCAATTGAATTCTTGCAAGCGACGTCATTCGTGGGACAGCCAATCTGATTCGCCTCGCACATGTGGCGTCGTTTGCAAGTATCCAGTTATATCTGGTCCGAAAATCGATTCAGCGTGTTATTAATCCCAAGCTTTCAAGATGTAAAGTTAACACGATATGCACAACCATCTGATTAGTTACAAGTACCCAATAAGAAAATATAAAACGATTTTAAAAATGTTTCATTTATTCAATCGTTTTGCTTTAAATGTTATTTTTCTCACAATATAAGCGTGTTTTTCATTTTAATAAATAAGTGAAAACTCAAATTATTGGTTATAAATTATTTCATAGCAACACGAATTATTTGTTTAAAGTTATACCCTAACCACGATAATTCTCGTTGCATCGTATTTCATTCGAAAATTAAAGTTTAAAACTGAAAACTAGAAAACGACTTCAAAAATGCTTCATTTATTGAATCGTACGCTCGTAAATAATATTCTTCTTTCTCGCATTAAAATCGTGCTTTTTAATAAATAAATCATATTAAAACACAAAAATTATTGGTAACAAATTATACTGCATTTATTAGATCTAAATGACAAACATTTTATGCCATCAACTTATTTATTACTAAATCAAAATGGTTTATTTGAGAGCAAATAGCTTCTAACTTAACACAAAATTTGAAAATTAAATTTAATATATTTCTTTTGACATATTTTAACAAAGTAAATCCATAAGTATTAAAAAATAATAATTTATCACGCAATACGGACCAGGGTTCGTGAAATTTTTTTTAAATCAAAAAATCAGATTTTTTTAAAAATTTAAATCTGATTTCTTTTACTTAAATCGGATTTTTTTTTAATTCAAATACACTGTAAGAACTTTGATTTATGTGTAAAAAAACTTCATAAATGTTTAATCAAAATTAAATTAATGTTAAAACTATATTATAACAATATTTTAGAAGCTTTAACTACCTTTAAACAATTTTTTATTATATATAATACATAGCTTTGAATACATAGCCACCATTTTGAAACAAATGCATAATTGAAATTTAAAGACTAGATGAAACAGAGAATTTAAAGAATACTTCAACTATTAAAACAAAGTTTCAATTAGCAATCCATAATTTTAATTTAAAGTTGTGATTTCTTTTTTTTCGTTTGATTTTTAAAATGACAAAATAAATGAAACAGATTTTGTAGTCATTCATCAAAAAATAAATCAATATTTAATCTATATAGTTTCATATTAAAATATTCATTTTTAATTCTATAGCAAAATAGATAAGTTAAGCTAAAAAAATCTATGTACTCATTGGAATTTCTTTCACAAAATTTCTTTATAGAAAATATGATAATGTCAAAGATACTGTAAACTATTATGAGAAAAAAATACTCATTGATAAAAGAGATAGCACATTTCTAATTCTGGATTATTTAATTTAATTTAATAGAATGACACTATATCAAGCGAAGAATGACACTATAGCAGGAAAAAAATATCTGAATTCATCAGCACTTTTTTCTTCTTCTATTTTTAGCATATTAGGGTAATTTCTTTTCAGTATAACCTCAAGCTTTTGAAATATGCATTTTCCACCAATACAATATAATGTAGATTTTAATTCCATGCTTTTTCATTCCAAAGGTAGAATTTTAATTAATATTTATATTTTTTGTGAAAAAAATTCATATTTATTAATTACTTTCTATAGCAGCAGCATTAAATGTTTACATTAATCCGTACTTTCAATCTCAACAATCAAAAGACTTATAAAAATGTAGTTTCAAATGTGTAGGAATTTAACACACACCAAGAGAGAAAGTAATTTTGTTAACTAAAATTAATTATGCAGCAATTTATTTAAAATAAATTTTAAAACTAATAAAAGAAAATAATAAGAGTATCAATAATTTAAAACACTGTTTTTTAACTTTTTAAATCGGTATATATATTTTAAGAAAATCAGTTGGTTTAAATCATGATTTAAATCAAGCTGATTTAAATCAACAAACCCTGATACGGACCATAAATATTTTTAAATTTTGGAAATTGAGAAACCTTGAACGACCCTGTATTTGATTAATAGATCTCGTGCCTTTTAAACGGAAAATTTCCGCTTTTAAATATATGATAATTGTGAGCTATAACTTTTAACGAGTGGTGAATTTACTACTTTCTAAATTTGGCATTTGTGAATAAAAAACTAACTTCTAATAGGAGGCATTTTTTTTTCAAATTTAGAAAGCAGTAAACTAATTCGCGAGAATTTTTCTAGCTTGTAATTCTTGACTACTAAAAGAATGAAAGTGAACTAATTCGTTGAAATGAACTGATTGTTTGGGATGATTTCTTTGGCGCATGTCCTACATTGTTGGTTGATGACGCCGTGACGCTTTTGTTGAAACTAAACTTTTAACTTTCCACGGGAAAGATACAGAAAAAATAAGATCCGAAGTCTCTTTCTCGGAACATCTTTTATCTACTCCATTGATATTTTTTTTCCTTCAGAGCTTTCAGACTCAAGACTTTAAATTGTATATTTGTTTTCTAAAGAAATGCTGATGACGAAGACGTATTTGGTGGATTTCGCAAAGGGGCATTATGCGACTTTTCTTTTGTACTTTTCCGAATGAAAATTTGTCTTTGATTTTCATCACACCGTTTCCTGTCTTTGATGATGAGTTATTTATCTTTAGCTTTTTTTTTCTTCCTGACATAAATTACTATTTTCATCATTCTGATTGATTGCAGTAAAGTTTCTTCAGTTATTGTTAACTTTTCTTCAAAAGGTGTTTGTTTTAGCTGTTTTTCGCGGTAAGAAGTAAATACGACAGCAATCAAACTGATTGATGGGCATACCCTTTGTTTTGAAATTAAGCAAATGGTGATTAATTTATTTCCATTTTTTATTAGATGAATCTGTATGAAGCTGCTAAAAATTTACAATATATATTCTTATGCGCTTGTAGTATATTTTTATTAGCTTTTGAGATGAAACTAATATTGATTAATGTATCGTTATCTTTTAAAAATCTGGGTTATCGTTTATTTAATGTAATATCCATATAAAGCCGACAAAATTTTAAAAAAAAAAATCCAAATGGGTTTTTCCCCTCTTTGATTAGTGTTCCGTATATAAAAACTCTATTCTGCACGAATTTTTAAGTGCTTCTAGTTCAAAATTTTTGGAACATCGCAGTTGAGTTTCGGCTGTCAATCTTTCAAATACTTGATTAGTGCTTGTTTATTAGATATATCAATGTAAAGCTGCTAAAATTAACAATATAAGTATTCTTATACGTTGTAATATATTTTATTAGCTTTTTAAATTAAACAAATATTAATTAATGTATAGACCTGAAAATAACCACTCGCCGCATAGAGAGAGTCAGCAAATTAAAATTAAAAAAAAACGACTTAGAAAGAAAGACTTAGATAGATCTTTCAGTTTTCAATAAGACACCCCACAGTCGAATTGCGAACATGATTAAATGAGTCTTGCTGGATAAGATTTTCCCAGTGATTAGGAGATCCGTTTTGCTAACTATGGGAGGTTTTCATGACTTTTTCTCCGCGTAACACAAATGTAAGTTTGTTCTAAACAAAATAGGGGATTTTAACTTCAGTCACTGTAAAGAGTAAAATCGATGAATATAAAGGTTTTCTGTGATCANCGCAAAAATTTAAAAAAAAAAAAAAATCTTAATGGGTTTTTCCCCTCTTTGATTAGTGTTCCGTATATAAAAACTCTATTCTGCACGAATTTTTAAGTGCTTCTAGTTCAAAATTTTTGGAACATCGCAGTTGAGTTTCGGCTGTCAATCTTTCAAATACTTGATTAGTGCTTGTTTATTAGATATATCAATGTAAAGCTGCTAAAATTAACAATATAAGTATTCTTATACGTTGTAATATATTTTATTAGCTTTTTAAATTAAACAAATATTAATTAATGTATAGACCTGAAAATAACCACTCGCCGCGTAGAGAGAGTCAGCAAATTAAAATTAAAAAAAACGACTTAGAAAGAAAGACAACAGTTCAATTTTCCCCATTGTTAGTATAACAAAGTAGGAAGACTCTGAAAAATGTCCAATGCCTCTATTCAAAATTTTGATCCTTCGCAATCTATCAATTTGTTATGGAAAGATTCATGTGAGTTCTTCAACAGTTCACGTATTTCTAACTTGTAATACATAAATCTATTATGTCTCCCCAAACGTTCTCTAAAGTCAGTATGTTTAACTAAATTTTATCACATATTTATATTATTTTTATTGTTGAATTAACTTTTTATAGCCGTAGATTCCTACTGTTATGATTTTTTTTTATAAATATATCATTTATTCCAAGCAGGAAAAAAAAAGTTTGCCAAAAGTGGTTATTAAATCGGTTACCGACTCATTAGGTTTGCGCTAAAGTGGCTACTAAGTTATTAGAAGCTATCGGCCACTGGCAACGGCTACTAATTGAAAATTTAAATTTTAGGGTTTAATAATGTTTCGTTATTTTTTTAAATTAGGTCTATCGTTTATTGTAGTCTCTAAATGAAACCAAAAAATTTTTATATGTTGAAAAAAAAGAATTTTTTTTTTATGGGTTTTTTCTCCCTACTTGAGTGCTCTATATAAAAGAAACTATGATGCACAAATTTGAAAGTGTCTGTGACTCTAATATTTTGAACATATTGAAAATGTTATTCAAAATATATTGCTTCCCATGTGGGAAATTCTGTTATCCATTACAAAGCATTTGAGCAATGAGATAACTAACTGAATAGAAAGATGCAGTAAATATTGTTTCAAAAGCTTCTAGTTCTATCAATAATATTAATTTTATCATAATTTCCTTAACTAGGATTCGCATTTCCGAATTATGTCGGGGAAAACTATCGATTTTACACCGTAAAAATATTGTGATGTGTGAAAACACGGAGATTTTAGGCAACTCAGTTACATTTTCCTTTTCACAATATTAAATTTTGAACTTGGTTTTTCAATGAAAATTCTCTTTTTTTTTTCATCAGTAAGATTTTTCTTTTTTTTTTTTTTTTTTNTTTGATTTTTTTTTTTTTTTTTTTTTTTTGGCCAGTGAAGATAACGCCGAGAAATGGTTCTTGTCTTTAAAAAACACAGGGCGAGGAATACCTAACTACTGTAAGCTGGAAAATGAAATAGCCCATTACCTCTAAAGAACAACAAACTGAATAGAAAATGCTATGTAGTATTGACCTTTTCTCCACCTACAAAAGAAATGTTACACTTGACAAGGGGAACATAGGGAGGGAACTTGGCGTTGAAAGGAGTGTTCTGCATACTTGTTATTTTTTATCTTTGCCCCAGTGATAGAGCTTTCAGTTTTCAATAAGACACCCCACAGTCGAATTGCGAACATGATTAAAGGAGTCTTGCTGGATAAGATATTCCCAGTGATTAGGAGATCCGTTTTGCTAACCATGGGAGGTTTTCATGACTTTTTCTCCGCGTAACACAAATGCAAGTTTGTTCTAAACAAGATAGGGGATTTCAACTTCAGTCATTGTAAAGAGTAAAATCGATGAATATAAAGGTTTTCTGTGATCACCTCCCTTAATATAAATATCAGATTTCCTCATCGAAAATGAATGTCAAGGATTCTTTAAAACATTTATTAAGAGCTGTCACTACGGTGCATCCTGTATTAGTAATTAAAAGTTTATTCCACATGGAACAATCTATTATTATAAATTAATTAATTATTAAATATTGCTCATTAATTTTGAATGTGAGTTTTCTATTTTATCCAAAACCTTTAATTCTGAACTTTAAAAGTTAAACATATTCTATTCTCGAAAACAAAAGGTATTATGACGTAATATAATATGTTTGTGTCCGGTAAAATCTTCGACAAAAGATCCTGGTGTTTCCAATTACGCTTTTTAAGTTGACTTCTCCAATTACTTGATGAAAGCAAATATTTTTCCAAGTCGAAAACATTCTTCAAACATAGAACCCCAATCACGAGGTTTTAAATTTCGCCCACAACATCCGCATTACACGAATGGAAGAACAATTGCAACATTTTCATCCCCTTGATGTTGTTGACCAAGGACAGATTTCATAAATTATATTTTGATCAGCTGAAAGAATCGGATTTCATCAATTTGGATGCCTGCCAAACTATATTGTAAGGTATGATTTTCAATCCAATTTCTTTTCCGTGTTATTGCTTTTTATGACCCCACCCCCTTTTGAATCTCGCCGCTGGCGTCATTAATAAATGAAATATCGATTATTTTCTTGGGCGAGGAACGTCTATTGTTTTACTTCTTCCGTTTCGTTCGAATAAAAGGAACCTTTTGTTTCAATTCTTTTGATTTTTTTTTCTTCTAATTTTTAATTTTAACTGTGAAAAGCTGGCGAAACACAGTATAAGAACAAAACACCTTGAATAATTTTTGACCTAATGATTAGAATTTTGCATATGGAATCTCAGTTTGAGGGGCACACCTTAAAAATACCACCTAATTAGTTCATAGAGTAGTAATTTAAGTTACAAAATACAGACGCAAAAACTTACTTACGTCGAATAAATTAAAGTGTTAGGAGCAATTTAATGATAAGTTGTATTTTCAAATCGTTCGATGAAAAAACAAAATGTTGGCTAAGATATTTCGGTGTGTTGTGCTGCTATCTATGAGAAATGCCGGAAACTTGCTAAGTACCTTTCTCAAATCAATGCCTGAACAGTGTGATGCAAAAAAGTAGCCCTAAGCCCTTTAAATATGCCTTTTTTCCCCCGATGAATTCTAATTCTTGAACCTCAATATGCGCAAACAAGAAAATATGCTGTCAATAGTATAAACAGAGCCCTCATAGATTTGGACCCCTTAATATTTTTAAATTTAATGACAGTTAATAAAAATAACTTAAGTAATGGATAGAAGTTAAATCTTATTGCTAAGCAGGGGTCGTAATTTTTTCGATTTTTTTTTAAAGGAAAAAAAAAATCAGATTTTTTATTTAAATTGGTTTTTTTTATTTTATTCAATACACTGTAAGAACTTTGATTTATGATTAAAAAACTTTATAAAGGTTTAATCAAAATTTAATTAATGTTAAAACTATGTTATGACAATATTTTAAAAGCTGTAACTACGTAAAACAATTTTTTATTATAATACATAGCTTAGAATGCATAGCAACCATTTGGAAACAAATGCATGATTGAAATTTAAAGACTAGATGAAATAGAGAATTTGAACCCTATTTTTGGCATATTAGAGTAATTTCTTTTTGAGATAACCTCAAGCTTTAGAAATATACATTTTCCATCAATAAAATATAATGTAGATTTTAATTCCATGCTTTTTCAATCAAAAGGTAGAATTTTAATTAACATTATTTGTACTTTTTTGTGAAAAAAATTCATGTTTATTAATTAATTTCTACACCTATGCAAGTCTATATTAAGACAGCATTAAATGTTTACTTTAATCTGTACTTTCAATCCCAAAAATCAAAATATTTTTAAAAGTGTAATTTCAAATGTGTTGGAATTTAACACACGCCAGGAAAGAAAGTAATTTTGTCAACTAAAATTAATTAATGCAGCAATTTATTTAAAATGAATTTTAAAACTAAGAAAAGAAAATAATGAAAGTATCATTAATTTAAAATATTGTTTTTTAACTTTTTAAATCAATATATATGTATAAAAAAATCACTTGATTTAAATCAACAAACCCTGTTTCTAACTCGTTTCGAATTACGAAAACTCGTATGAACTGAACATCTCTAAAGTTATAAAATAATCCTTTCAAGTATTTCTTGAAAAATTCAAAATTGAAAGTTTCACTTCCATTATTGTAGGGTAGTGTATTCTTGATAACGTGTTATTACGTTATCAGCTTATTAAATAACTGATATTATAACAGTTTCACTTACTCACGTCCAATTTTTTGAACAAATAATATTGCGCCATTGACTATAAGCAATATGTATGGACATATGTGCAAAATAATCCATTAGGTTGTTTACTTTTAGCAAACTAATCTATTAGGTAGTTTACTTTTAATCTTTAAGGAAATCCTTTTTTTCCTCCAGCCCCAATTATTTCTTTATATATGAATAGGTAATATTTTGTGATTTTTCACAAACTATCTCATTAATTTTCTTTCTTGTCTGGTTCGTTTCCTTTCATATGTTAAAATGTTAGTGGAATCACATTCAGGTTGAAGTAAGTGTAGAGAACTAGAGCTTTTCAAAATTTAAATAAATCAGAATACTAAAGTTTTGTATTTTCTTGGGATTTAAGTCCTAAGATTATTCCCGACTTATTGAGAAATCAAGGTCCTGATCTTATGAAAGGTCCGTTTATATGAAATTGTGAAAAAATTTACTCTTAAATTAATAAATATGAGATGTTAGGGTCTTTTTTTAAAGAAAAAATCACAAGAACTGTGTGTTTTAAGGAGTTTCAGTTTTTAAAATAAGTAAATGAATACGTCATATGCTTCATATTTCATAAAAAAAAAAAGTTTTGTAAAGGATTCGCTTTTGTAAAGGTCCGTTTCAACGATGAGAATTTTCGTAAAGATTCCATTAATAGATCCGAATTTCTCTTTAAAATGACCCCTGAAAATGTGTGATTGTTAACGGTTTTCTCACTTATTTAGCTAGGCATTCGTATGTTTTATCCCTAGTTTATATTTCCAGCGCATTTCCAGAGAATTTATTTTTCTAATCGGAGATTTTTATTAAAATTTAATTACCAAAGCCGAATTTTTTTATTTTTGAAGTGATACTTCTTATGCGACTTCCAAGAAGGTTGCGTTAAACGTTTAACGCTACATTTTTATTGGCCGGGAAATCACGCGGTAGGGTCCAGTTTTTCCTCATTCATTTCCATATTGTTTTGGTTCTCACTAGCACAAAAATAATAAAGGTCATAAAAGTATTGTTTTTCTATAAATATTTTAGTTTGATTTGATACACATATAATTTAATAGGGTAGTATTGTTTTATTTTCAAACTTAGTGGATAACAATTGTAAAAAATGAGTGAAAATAATCCCACGGACAATGCGACGGATTTAAGGTTATGTCAAGGTACGTCTTTGTGAATATCAATTGATTGTTAGGTTTTCTCTTTTCTAATTGCCATTCATATTTCACCAAATGCAGCCATGAGGGAAATTAAATTATTTATTGCAAAATCTTTATTGCCACTATCCACTGCAGGTTCACAAGCTCTGGCAGACGTTACTGGTGAAGAAATTGATTATTGTGAGCGGCCTGTGATCCTTGCAGGAGATTTTAATGTGAATTTCTCGTTACCTGAAGCTGAAACATAATTAGCCTTCCTTAAAGACAAATTTGGATTGGAAATGTTAAATGGTAGGAATGATCCAACAACCAAAGGGGGAACTACCATTGATGCAGTTTTTGCAAGAAATATTGAAAAAATAGAACTCAAACATTTCGTATCTTACTTTAGTTATCATAATCCCATTATAAATGTTATAGATTCGGATATTTCTCCACTAGTAAATGATAATTAAAAGATGCGATCAATTGTGAATTGTAAGCATTGTTAATAAAGTTTGTCTTAAAGAAACAATATGATTTCACTAAAAATCAATTTCTACCACTTCTTCCGCGCGGAGGGACTCCACGCACTATTTTTTTTATTAGAACCTCGTTTACCGATTTTTACATTTTTGCATTCTAGTTGAAGCTATTCATTCAAAATTTAAATAATTCTAAAAATTCAAATTTACTATCTTTTGAGATCATCGATTTATAATTTTAAACAGATTTTTCCATCGAATTTTTTGCAATTATGCTACCATTCCAGTTTTTGTCTCCTGGAAGTTTAGTCTCTTGAGATTCTCCCGTTTCTGAGCAAGAGATTTTTTCCAAAGATCCTGAAATTTTTACAAGACTTCTCACACTTTTAATTCGATTTTTTCCCAAAAATTTTATTTCCAGATTCCCAATTTTCTCTACAGAAATCCTTGACCATTCGATTAAGATCTTAATAACACACATTTGACGAATTGGGACAAGGGAATGAGTGTTTTAATTTTGTGCTTTTAAATACAACCCCTTTTATATACATCTCGGGAATCTCCAGACGTTTTTCATTAAAAACTATTTACTGTAGCTTATGGAGGCTTTTCTTAAAATATATATATATAAGGATTTTATTTTTATAAGCTCGACCTTCTAGAAATAAGGTCTTCGTTTCATTTTATACTCTGGCTTTACACCTTTGCTTGCAGATCTCTTTCTGGCTATTATCCAGACCAGGTGTCATGACTGTTTGTGATATATTTAAGATCAAACACGCAGTCTGCTTTAAATTTATATATGTCATAGAGGGTAGCGGTATTTGCGCAATGGCGTACCGTTCCGACTTTTTTAGAGGATATACCAACACGATTACAACTGGATTACTCACACTTTAATAAAAACAATTTATTGTTTTAAATTTATATAAGTCATTGAGGGTCGTGGTATTTGCTCGATATCGTACCGTTCCCAATGCGATTACTCACACTTCAATAAAGAAAAATTCCTGTTATAAATTTATATATATCAGAGATGGTAGTGGTATTTGCGCTATGGCGTACTGTTCCGACTTTTTGAGAGGATATACCAATGCGATTGCAACTGATTACTCACACTTTAATAAATAAAAAAAATTCATGTTGAGTTAAAGGAGCCTGCGAAAACGTACAAAAAAAAAACAAATTTGAAAAAACCCATGCTATTAAAAACTATTAGGTGTAACTTATAGACATGTCTTTCGTAATTAACACTTAATTGACCGGTAATTTTATACAGAAGCTATGTCATGACACCGGCTATTATTTTTGTATTTGAATATGGAAATAAAATAAGACATTCGAAATAAACTTCAATAAATTTTATTTATACTGAATGGAGTGAAATTAAACTTTAGACATGATGCTTAAAGCTTCTGTAATATCTCTCCTGGGTTTCATAAATTGAAGTAAATAATGCAAGTGCAATAACGAGTTAACTCTCATCGGTCAAAAATGTTGCCCTTGGGCAGGAAAAGATTAGTTAAATCGTGGACGGTCAACAATGTGTTAAGCGCGATATATACATTTAGTTATGTAAACGTAGCATGTTTTCAAGTTTTTCCGAAGTCTTCGTAATTAAGCCTTTGAAAATGATTGAAAAAATTTATCCTAAATTGTGGAATATTTTATAATTGATAATTTGATTTTTAAAAAAATTGCTTTAAAAATAAGTTTTCATTTCAGCAACTTTATAACTAAAAAAAAAAAAAAAATACAATAGCAGTTGAGTACTTTGGGAAATTTTTATTTCAAAACATTTTCTTCTGAATTCGTCTTAAAATAAAGTTTCTCTGTGATTTTCCATCTTAAGAAAAATTAAATTAAAAATTATATGAATATTGCAAAGTCACTAAATGCTCGCTAACGCTCTTTTTTTTCGATGAATTTTGGTGTAGTTTTTAGATTTTTAACATTTTCATAATGAGAAAATTCTTCAGATCCAAGAGAATTATAGCAGGCGTGCCGAACACTTGCGTGCTATGGAGATTTTTAATAAAAGGGAATTTTTAAAATTACATAATTATTTATCATTTCATAATTTATTGCAAGAATTTTAAAATCTTATTAGTTATGAATGAAAAAATATATATTACATTAGTTTCATTAATACATTTATTGTAACTAATGATATGAAAA